TTGCGTGGTCCACGAGCTAGCCTGGTCCAGGAGCTTGCTTGGTCAAGAAGCGTGCCTGGTCCAAAAGCTTGCGTGGTCCACGAACTTGGCTGGTCCAGGAGCTTGCTTGGTCCAGAAGCCTGCCTGGTCCAAGGAGCTTGCGTGGTCCAAAAGCTTGCCTGGTCCATGAGCGTGCCTGGTCCAAGAGCTTGCGTGGTCCAGCAGCTTGCCTGGTCCAGGAGCTTGCGTGGTCCAGGAGCGTGCCTGGTTCACAAGCTTGCCTGGTGCACGAGCGTGCCTGGTCCACGAGCTTGCGTGGTCCAGGAGCTTGCCCGATCGAGGAGCTTGCCTAGTCCAGGAGCTTGCCTTGTTTAGGAGCTTGCCTGGTCCAGGAGCTTGCCTTTTCTAGGAGCTTGCCTGGTCCAGGAGCTTGCCTGGTCCAGGAGCGTGCCTGGTCCAGGAGCGTGCCTGGTCCAGGAGCTTGCCTGGTCCAGGAGCTTGCCTGGTCCAGGAGCTTACCTGGTCCAGGAGCTTACCTGGTCCAATAGCTTGCCTGGACCAGGAGCTTGCCTGGTCCAGGAGCTTGCCTGGTCCAGGAGCTTTCCTGGTCCAGGAGCGTGCCTGGTCCACGAGCCTGCCTGGTCCAAGAGCTTGCCTGGTCTAAGAGCTTGCTTGGTCCAGGAGCTTGCTCGTTCCAGGAGCGTGCCTGGTCTAAGAGCTTGCTATGTCCAAGAGCGTGCTTGGTCCCGGAGCTTGCCTGGTCCAGGAGCTTGCCTGGTCTAGGAGCATGCGTGGTCCAAGAGCTTGCCTCTTCCAGGAGCTTGCATGGTCCACGAGCTTGCATGTTCTTGAAGCTTGCCTGGTCCAGGAGCTTGCCTGGTCCAAGAGCTTGCCTGGTCCAGGGGCGTGCCTGCTCCAAGAGCTTGCCTGGTCTAGAAGCTTGCGTGTTCTAGGAGCTTGCCTCGTCCAGGAGCTTTCCAGGTTCAAGAGCTTACCTTGTCCAGGAGCATGCCTGGTCCAGGAGCTTTCCTGGTCTAGGAGCTTGCTTAGTTCAAGAGATCGCCTAGTCCAGGAGCTTGCTTGGTCCAGGAGCTTGCCTCGTCCAAGAGCTTGCCTGGTCCAAGAGCTTGCCTGGTCCAGGAGCGTGCCTGGTCCAGGAGCTTGCCTGGTCCAGGAGCTTGCCTTGTCCAGGAGCTTGCCTGGTCCAGGAGCGTGCCTGGTCCACGAGCTTGCCTGGTCCAAGAGCTTGCCTGGTCCAAGAGCGTGCCTGGTCCGCGAGCGTGCCTGGCCCAGGAGCTTGCCTGGTCCAGGAGCTTGCCTGGTCCAGGAGCTTGCCTGGTCCAGGAGCTTACCTGGTCCAGGAGCTTGCCTGGTCCATGAGCTTGCCTGGTCCAGGAGCTTACCTGATCCAGGAGCGTGCCTGGTCCACGAGCTTGCCTGGTCCAAGAGCTTGCCTGGTCTAAGAGCTTGCCTGGTCCAGGAGCTTGCCCGTTCCAGGAGCGTGCCTGGTCCAAGAGCTTGCTATGTCCAAGAGCGTGCTTAGTCCCGGAGCTTGCCTGGTCCAAAAGCTTGCCTGGTCTAGGAGCATGCGTGGTCCAAGAGCTTGCCTGGTCCAGGAGCTTGCATGGTCCACGACCTTGCATGTTCCAGAAGCTTGCCTGGTCCTGGAGCTTGCCTGGTCCAAGAGCTTGCCTGGTCCAGGAGCGTGCCTGCTCCAAGAGCTTGCGTGGTCTAGAAGCTTGCCTGTTCTAGGAGCTTGCCTCGTCCAGGAGCTTTCCAGGTTCAAGAGCTTACCTGGTCCAGGAGCATGCCTGGTCCAGGAGCTTTCCTGGTCCAGGAGCTTGCTCGGTCCTTGAGCTTGCCTGGTCCAAGAGCTTGCCTAGTCCAAGAGCTCGCCTAGTCCAGGAGCTTGCTTGGTCCAGGAGCTCGCCTGGTCCAAGAGCTTGCTTGGTCCACGAGATTTCCTCGTCCAAGAGCTTGCCTGGTCCAGGAGCTTGCCTGGTCCAAGAGCGTGCCTGGTCCATGAGCTTGCCTGGTCCAGGAGCTTGCCTTGTCCAGGAGCTTGCCTGGTCCAGGAGCGTGCCTGGTCCACGAGCTTGCCTGGTCCAAGAGCTTGCCTGATCCAAGAGCGTGCCTCGTCCGCGAGCGTGCCTGGCCCAGAAGCTTGCCTGGTCCAAGAGCTTACCTGGTCCAGGAGCTTGCCTGGTCGAGGAGCTTGTCTGGTCCAGGAGCATGCTTGGTCCAGGAGCGTGCATGGTCCAGGAGCTTGCTTGGTCCAGGAGCTTGCTTGGCCCAGAAGCCTGCCTAGTCCAAGAGCTTGACTGGTCGAGGAGCGTGCCTAATCCAATAGCGTGCGTGGTCCACGAGCTAGCCTGGTCCAGGAGCTTGCTTTGTCCAGGAGCGTGCGTGGTCCAAGAGCTTGCGTGGTCCAGGAGCTTGCGTGGTCCAGGAGCGTGCCTAGTCCACGAGCTTGCCTCGTGCACGAGTATGCCTGGTCCACGAGCTTGCATGGTCCAGGAGCTTGCCTGGTCTAGGAGCATGCATGGTCCAAGAGCTTGCCTGGTCCAGGAGCTTGCATGGTCCACGAGCTTGCATGTTCCAGAAACTTGCCTGGTCCAGGAGCTTGCCTGGTCCTAGAGCTTGCCTGGTCCAGGAGCGTGCCTGCTCCAAGAGCTTGCCTGGTCTAGAAGCTTGCCTGTTCTAGGAGCTTGCCTCGTCCAGGAGCTCTCCAGGTTCAAGAGCTTACCTGGTCTAGGAGCATGCCTGGTCCAGGAGCTTTCGTGGTCCAGGAGCTTGCTTGGTCCTTGAGCTTGCCTAGTCCAAGAGATCGCCTAGTCCAGGAGCTTGCTTGGTCCAGGAGCTTGCCTGGTCCAAGAGCTTGCCTGGTCCACGAGATTTCCTCGTCCAAGAGCTTGCCTGGTCCAGGAGCTTGCCTGGTCCAGGAGCGTGCCTGGTCCAGGAGATTGCCTGGTCCAGGAGCTTGCCTTGTCCAGGAGCTTGCCTGGTCCAGGAGCGTGCCTGGTCCTCGAGCTTGCCTGGTCCAAGAGCTTGCCTTGTCCAAGAGCGTGTCTGATCCGCGAGCGTGCCTGGCCCAAGAGCTTGCCTGGTCCAGGAGCTTGCGTGGTCTAGGAGCTTGCCTGGTCCAATAGCTTGCCTGGTCCAGGAGCTTGCCTGGTCCATGAGCTTGCCTCGTCCAGGAGCTTACCTGGTCCAGGAGCGTGCCTGGTCCACGAGCCTGCCTTGTCCAAGAGCTTGCTTGGTCTAAGAGCTTGCCTGGTCCAGGAGCTTGCCCATTCTAGGAGCGTGCCTTGTCCAAGAGCTTGCTATGTCCAAGAGCGTGCTTGGTCCCGGAGCTTGCCTGGTCCAGGAGCTTGCCTGGTCTAGGAGCTTGCCTGAACCAGGAGCTTGCCTGGACCAGGCAAGCTCCTAGAACAAGCAAGCTTCTGGACCAGGCAAGCTGCTGGACAAGCCAAGTTCGTGGACCAAGCAAGCTTTTGGACCAGACACGCTTCTTGACCAAGCAAGCTCCTGGACCAGGCTAGCTCGTGGACCACGCAAGCTCTTGGACCAATCAAGCTCTTGGACCAGGTAGGCTTCTAGACCAAGCAAGCTCCTGGACCATGCAAGCTCCTAGGCCATGCACGCTCCTGGCCTAGGCAAGCTCCTGGACCAGGCAAGCTCCTCGACCAGGCAAGCTCCTGGACCAGGCAAGCTCCTCGAACAGGCAAGCTCCTGGACCAGGCAAGCTCCTGGGCCAGGCACGCTCGTGGACTAGGCACACTCTTGGACCAGGCAAGCTCTTGGACCAGGCAAGCTCGTGGACCAGGCAAGCTCCTGGACAAGGCAAGCTCCTGGACAAGGCAAGCTCCTGGGCCAGGCACGCTCCTAGATCAGGCAAGCTCTTGGACCAGGCAAGCTCTTGGACCAGGAAATCTCATGGACCAGGCAAGCTCTTGGACCAGGCAAGCTCCTGGACCAGGCAAGCTCCTGGACTAGGCGAGCTCTTGGACCAGGCAAGCTCTTGGACCAAGCAAGCTCCAAGACCAAGCAAGCTCCTAGACCAGGAAAGCTCCTGGACCTGGCATGCTCCAGGACCAGCTAACCTCTTGGACCTGGAAAGCTCCTGGACCAGGCAAGCTCCTAGAACAGGCAAGCTTCTAGACCAGGCAAGCTCTTGGAGCAGGCACGCTCCTAGACCAGGCAAGCTCTTGGACCAGGCAAGCTCCTGGACCAGGCAAGCTTCAAGAACATGCAAGCTCGTGGACCAGGCAAGCTCGTTGACCAGGCAAGCTCTTGGACCACGCATGCTCCTGGACCAGCCAAGTTCGTGGACCACGCAAGCTTTTGGACAAGGCACGCTTCTTGACCAAGCAAGCTCCTGGACCAGGCTAGCTCGTGGACCACGCAAGCTCTTGGACCACTCAAGCTCTTAGACCAGGTAGGCTTCTGGACCAAGCAAGCTCCTAGACCAGGCAAGCTCCTAGACCATGCACGCTCCTGGCCCAGTCAAGCTCCTGGACCAGGCAAGCTCCTCGACCAGGCAAGCTCCTGGACCAGGCAAGCTCCTCGACCAGGCAAGCTCCTGGACCAGGCAAGCTCCTGGGCCAGGCACGCTTTTGGACTAGGCACACTCTTGGACCTTGCAAGCTCTTGGACAAGGCAGGCTCGTGGACCAGGCAAGCTCCTGGACAAGGCAAGCTCCTGGACAAGGCAAGCTCATGGGCCAGGCACGCTCCTAGATCAGGCAAGCTCCTTGACCAGGCAAGCTCTTGGACCAGGAAATCTCATGGACCAGGCAAGCTCTTGGACTAGGCAAGCTCCTGGACCAGGCAAGCTCCTGGACTAGGCGAGGGTGATGGAAAGCGGGAGAATGGGGCGGGGTGACAGAAATCGGGAGAATGGGGCGGGGTGATGGAAAGCGGCAGAATGGGGCGGGGTGATGGAAGGAGGGAGAATGGGGCGGGGTGATAGAAAACGGGAAAATTTGGTGGGGTGATGGAAAGCGGGAGAATGGGGTGGGGTTATGGGAAGCGGGAGAGTGGGGCGGGGTGATGGAAAGCGGGAGAATGGGGCGGGGTGATGGAAGGAGGGAGAATGGGGCGGGGTGATGGAAAGCGGGAGAATGGGGCGGGGTGATGGAAAGCGGGAGAATGGGGCGGGGTGATGGAAAGCGGGAGAATGGGGCTGGGTGATGGAAAGCGGGAGAATGGGGCGGGGTGATGGAAAGCGGGAGAATGGGGCGGGGTGATGGAAGGAGGGAGAATGGGGCGGGGTGATGGAAAGCGGGAGATTGGGGCAGGGTGATGGAAAGCGGGAGAATGGGGCGGGGTGATGGAAAGAGGAAAAATGGGGCGGGGTGATGGAAAGCTGGAGAATGAGGCTAAGTGATGGAAAGCGGGAGTATGGGGCGGGGTGATGGACAGCGGGAGAATGGGGCGGGCTGATGGAAAGCGGGAGAATGGGGCGGGGTGATGGAAGGAGGGAGAATGGGGCGGGGTGATGGAAGGAGAAAGAAGGGGGCGGGGTGATGGAAAGTGGGAAAATGTGGCGGGGTGATGGAAAGCGGGAGAATGGGGTGGGGTTATGGGAAGCGGGAGAATAGGGCGGGGTGATGGAAAGCGGGAGAATGGAGCGGGGTGATGGAATGAGGGAGAATGGGGCGGGGTGATGGAAGGAGGGAGAATGGGGCGGGGTGATGGAAAGCGGGAGAATGGGGCGGGGTGATGGAAGGAGGAAGAATGGGGCGGGGTGATGGAAAGCGGGAGAATGGGGCGGGGTGATGGAAAGCGGGAGAATGTGGCGGGGTGATGGAAAGCGAGAGAATGGGGCGGGGTGATGGAAGGAGGAAGAAAGGGGAGGGGTGATGGAAAGCGGGGGAATGGGGCGGGATGATGGGAAGCGGAAGAATGGGGCGGGGTGATGGAAAGCGGGAGAATGGGGCGGGGTGATGGAAAGCGGGAGAATGGAGCGGGGAGATGGAAAGCGGGAGAAAGGGGAGGGGTGATGGAAAGCGGGAGAATGGGGCGGGCTGATGGAAAGCGGGAGAATGGGGCGGGGTGATGGAAGGAGGGAGAATGGGGCGGGGTGATGGAAGGAGAGAGAAGGGGGCGGGGTGATGGAAAGTGGGAGAATGTGGCGGGTTGATGGAAAGCGGGAGAATGGGGTGGGGTTATGGGAAGCGGGAGAATGGGGCGGGGTGATGGAAAGCGGGAGAATGGGGCGGTGTGATGGAAGGAGGGAGAATGGGGCGGGGTGATGGAAGGAGGGAGAATGGGGCGGAGTGATGGAAAGCGGGAGAATGGGGCGGGGTGATGGAAGGAGGGAGAATGGGGCGGGATGATGGTAAGCGGGAGAATGGGGCGGGTTGATGGAAAGCGGGAGAATGGGGCAGGGTGATGGAAAGCGGGAGAATGGGGCGGGATGAAAAATCGGGAGAATGGGGCGGGGTGATGGAAAGGGGGAGAATGGGGCGGGGTGATGGAAGGAGGGAGAATGGGGCGGGGTGATAGAAAGCGGGAGAATGTGGCGGGGTGATGGAAAGCGGGAGAAGGGGGTGGGGTTATGGGAAGCGGGAGAACAGGGCGGGGTGATGGAAAGCGGGAGAATGGGGCGGGGTGATGGAAGGAGGGAGAATGGGGCGGGGTGATGGAAGGAGGGAGAATGGGGCGGGGTGATGGAAAGCGGGAGAATGGGGCGGGGTGATGGAAAGCGGGAGAATGGGGCGGGGTGATGGAAGGAGGAAGAATGGGGTGGGGTGATGGAAAGCGGGAGATTGGGGCGGGGTGATGGAAAGATAGAGAGTGGGGCGCGGTAATGGAAAGCGGGAGAATGGGGCGGAGTGATGGAAAGAGGGAGAATGGGGCGGGGTGATGGAAGAAGGGAGAATGGGGCGGGGTGATAGAAAGCGGGAGAATGTGGCGGGGTGATGGAAAGCGGGAGAAGGGGGTGGGGTTATGGGAAGCGGGAGAACAGGGCGGGGTGATGGAAAGCGGGAGAACGGGGCGGGGTGATGGAAGGAGGGAGAATGGGGCGGGGTGATGGAAGGAGGGAGAATGGGGCGGGGTGATGGAAAGCGGGAGAATGGGGCGGGGTGATGGAAAGCGGGAGAATGGGGCGGGGTGATGGAAAGCGGGAGAATGGGGCTGGGTGATGGAAAGCGGGAGAATGGGGCGGGGTGATGGAAAGCGGGAGAATGGGGCGGGGTGATGGAAGGAGGGAGAATGGGGTTGGGTGATGGAAAGCGGGAGATTGGGGCGGGGTGATGGAAAGATAGAGAGTGGGGCGCGGTAATGGAAAGCGGGAGAATGGGGCGGAGTGATGGAAAGAGGGAGAATGGGGCGGGGTGATGGAAAGAGGGAGAATGGGGCGGGGTGATGGAAAGAGGGAGAATGGGGCGGGGTGATGGAAAGAGGGAGAATGGAGCGGGGTGATGGAAAGCGGGAGAATGGGGCGGGGTGACAGAAAGTGGTAGAATGGGGCGGGGTGATGGAAAGAGGGGGAATGGGGAGGGGTGATGGAAAGAGGGAGAATTGGGCTGGGTGATTGAAAGCGGGAGAATGGAGCGGGGTGATGGAACGAAGGAGAATGGGGCGGGGTGATGGAAAGAGGGAAAATGGGGCGGGGTGATGGAAAGCGGGAGAATAGGGCGGGGTGATGGAAAGAGGGAGATTGGGGTTGGGTGATGGAAAGCGGGAGAATGGGGCGTGGTGATGGAAAGAGGGAGATTGGGGGGCGGGGTGATGGAAAGAGGTAGAATGGGGAGGGGTAATGGAAAGAGGGAGAATTGGGCGAGGTGATGGAAACCGGGAGAATAGAGCGGGGTGATGGAAAGAGGGAGAATGGGGCGGGGTGATGGAAAGCGAGAGAATGGGGCGGGGTGATGGAAAGAGTGAGAATGGGGCGGGGTGATGGAAAGAGGGAGAATGGGGCGGGGTGATGGAAAGAGGGAGAATGGGTTGGGGTGATGGAAAACGGGAGAATGGGGCGGGGTGATGGAAACAGGGAGAAAGGGGCGGGGTGGTGGAAAGAGGGAGAATGGGGCGGGGTGATGGAAAGCGGGAGAATGGGGCGGGGTGATGGAAAGAGGGAGAATGGGGCGGGGTGATGGAAAGCGGGAGAATGGGGCGGGGTGATGGAAAGAGGGAGAATGGGGAGGGGTGATGGAAAGAGGGAGAATTGGGCGGGGTGATGGAAAGGGGGAGAATGGAGCGGGATGATTGAAAGCGGGAGAATGGGGCTAGGTGATAGAAAGCGGGAGAATGGGGCAGGGTGATGGAAAGAGGGAGAATGGGGTGGGGTGATAGAAAGCGGGAGAATGGGGCAGGGTGATGGAAAGAGGGAGAATGGGGCAGGGTGATGTAAGGAGGGAGAATGGGGCGCGGTGATGGAGGGAGGGAGAATGGGGCGGGGTGATGGAAAGCGGGAGAATGGGGCGGGGTGATGGAAAGCGGTAGAATGGGGCAGGGTGATGGAAGGAGGGAGAATGGGGCGGGGTGATGGAAAGCGGGAGAATGGGGCGTGGTGATGGAAAGCGAGAGAATGGGGCGGGGTGATGGAAAGAGGGAGAATCGGGCGGGGTGATGGAAAGCGGGAGAATGGGGCGGGGTGATGGAAGGAGGTAGAATGAGGCGGGGTGATGGAAGGAGAAGAATGGGGCGGGGTGATGGAAAGCAGGAGAATGGGGCAGGGTGATGGAAAGCGGGAGAATGGGGCGGAGTGATGGAAAGCGGGAGAATGGGGCGGGGTGATGGAAAGCGGGAGAATGGGGCGTGGTGATGGAAAGCGGGAGAATGGGGCGGGGTGATGGGAGAATGGGGCGGGGTGATGGAAAGCGGGAGAATGGGGCGGGGTGATGGAAAGCGGGAGAATGGGGCAAATGATGGAAAGCGGGTGAATGGGGTGGGCTGATGGAAAGCGGGAGAATGGGGCGGGGTGATGGAAGGAGGGAGAATGGGGCGGGGTGATGGAAAGCGGGAGAATGGGTCGGGGTGATGGAAAGTGGGAGAATGGGGCGGGGTGATGAAAAGTGGGAGAATGGGGCGGGGTGATGGAAAGCGGGAGCATGGGGCGGGGTGATGGAAGGAGGTAGAATGAGGCGGGGTGATGGAAGGAGGGAGAATGGGGCGGGGTGATGGAATGAGGGAGAATGGGGCGGGGTGATGGAAGGAGGGAGAATGGGGCGGGGTGATGGAAAGCGGGAGAATGGGGCGGGGTGATGGAAGGAGGAAGAATGGGGCGGGGTGATGGAAAGCGGGAGAATGGGGCGGGGTGATGGAAAGCGGGAGAATGTGGCGGGGTGATGGAAAGCGAGAGAATGGGGCGGGGTGATGGAAGGAGGAAGAAAGGGGAGGGGTGATGGAAAGCGGGGGAATGGGGCGGGATGATGGGAAGCGGAAGAATGGGGCGGGGTGATGGAAAGCGGGAGAATGGGGCGGGGTGATGGAAAGCGGGAGAATGGAGCGGGGAGATGGAAAGCGGGAGAAAGGGGAGGGGTGATGGAAAGCGGGAGAATGGGGCGGGCTGATGGAAAGCGGGAGAATGGGGCGGGGTGATGGAAGGAGGGAGAATGGGGCGGGGTGATGGAAGGAGAGAGAAGGGGGCGGGGTGATGGAAAGTGGGAGAATGTGGCGGGTTGATGGAAAGCGGGAGACTGGGGTGGGGTTATGGGAAGCGGGAGAATGGGGCGGGGTGATGGAAAGCGGGAGAATGGGGCGGTGTGATGGAAGGAGGGAGAATGGGGCGGGGTGATGGAAGGAGGGAGAATGGGGCGGAGTGATGGAAAGCGGGAGAATGGGGCGGGGTGATGGAAGGAGGGAGAATGGGGCGGGATGATGGTAAGCGGGAGAATGGGGCGGGTTGATGGAAAGCGGGAGAATGGGGCAGGGTGATGGAAAGCGGGAGAATGGGGCGGGATGAAAAATCGGGAGAATGGGGCGGGGTGATGGAAAGGGGGAGAATGGGGCGGGGTGATGGAAGGAGGGAGAATGGGGCGGGGTGATAGAAAGCGGGAGAATGTGGCGGGGTGATGGAAAGCGGGAGAAGGGGGTGGGGTTATGGGAAGCGGGAGAACAGGGCGGGGTGATGGAAAGCGGGAGAATGGGGCGGGGTGATGGAAGGAGGGAGAATGGGGCGGGGTGATGGAAGGAGGGAGAATGGGGCGGGGTGATGGAAAGCGGGAGAATGGGGCGGGGTGATGGAAAGCGGGAGAATGGGGCGGGGTGATGGAAGGAGGAAGAATGGGGCGGGGTGATGGAAAGCGGGAGAATGGGGCGGGGTGATGGAAAGCGGGAGAATGTGGCGGGGTGATGGAAAGCGAGAGAATGGGGCGGGGTGATGGAAGGAGGAAGAAAGGGGAGGGGTGATGGAAAGCGGGGGAATGGGGCGGGATGATGGGAAGCGGAAGAATGGGGCGGGGTGATGGAAAGCGGGAGAATGGGGCGGGGTGATGGAAAGCGGGAGAATGGAGCGGGGAGATGGAAAGCGGGAGAAAGGGGAGGGGTGATGGAAAGCGGGAGAATGGGGCGGGCTGATGGAAAGCGGGAGAATGGGGCGGGGTGATGGAAGGAGGGAGAATGGGGCGGGGTGATGGAAGGAGAGAGAAGGGGGCGGGGTGATGGAAAGTGGGAGAATGTGGCGGGTTGATGGAAAGCGGGAGACTGGGGTGGGGTTATGGGAAGCGGGAGAATGGGGCGGGGTGATGGAAAGCGGGAGAATGGGGCGGTGTGATGGAAGGAGGGAGAATGGGGCGGGGTGATGGAAGGAGGGAGAATGGGGCGGAGTGATGGAAAGCGGGAGAATGGGGCGGGGTGATGGAAGGAGGGAGAATGGGGCGGGATGATGGTAAGCGGGAGAATGGGGCGGGTTGATGGAAAGCGGGAGAATGGGGCAGGGTGATGGAAAGCGGGAGAATGGGGCGGGATGAAAAATCGGGAGAATGGGGCGGGGTGATGGAAAGGGGGAGAATGGGGCGGGGTGATGGAAGGAGGGAGAATGGGGCGGGGTGATAGAAAGCGGGAGAATGTGGCGGGGTGATGGAAAGCGGGAGAAGGGGGTGGGGTTATGGGAAGCGGGAGAACAGGGCGGGGTGATGGAAAGCGGGAGAATGGGGCGGGGTGATGGAAGGAGGGAGAATGGGGCGGGGTGATGGAAGGAGGGAGAATGGGGCGGGGTGATGGAAAGCGGGAGAATGGGGCGGGGTGATGGAAAGCGGGAGAATGGGGCGGGGTGATGGAAGGAGGAAGAATGGGGTGGGGTGATGGAAAGCGGGAGATTGGGGCGGGGTGATGGAAAGATAGAGAGTGGGGCGCGGTAATGGAAAGCGGGAGAATGGGGCGGAGTGATGGAAAGAGGGAGAATGGAGCGGGGTGATGGAAGGAGGGAGAATGGGGCTGGGTGATGGAAAGCGGGAGAATGGGGCGGGGTGATGGAAAGCGGGAGAATGGGGCGGGGTGATGGAAGGAGGGAGAATGGGGTGGGGTGATGGAAAGCGGGAGATTGGGGCGGGGTGATGAAAAGATAGAGAGTGGGGCGCGGTAATGGAAAGCGGGAGAATGGGGCGGAGTGATGGAAAGAGGGAGAATGGGGCGGGGTGATGGAAAGAGGGAGAATGGGGCGGGGTGATGGAAAGAGGGAGAATGGGGCGGGGTGATGGAAAGAGGGAGAATGGAGAGGGGTGATGGAAAGCGGGAGAATGGGGCGGGGTGACAGAAAGTGGTAGAATGGGGCGGGGTGATGGAAAGAGGGGGAATGGGGAGGGGTGATGGGAAGAGGGAGAATTGGGCTGGGTGATTGAAAGCGGGAGAATGGAGCGGGGTGATGGAAAGAGGGAAAATGGGGCGGGGTGATGGAAAGCGGGAGAATGGGGCGGGGTGATGGAAAGAGGAAGATTGGGGTTGGGTGATGGAAAGCGGGAGAATGGGGCGTGGTGATGGAAAGAGGGAGATTGGGGGGCGGGGTGATGGAAAGAGGTAGAATGGGGAGGGGTAATGGAAAGAGGGAGATTTGGGCGGGGTGATGGAAAGCGGGAGAATAGAGCGGGGTGATGGAAAGCGGGAGAATGGGGCGGGGTGATGGAAAGCGGGAGAATAAGGCGGGGTGATGGAAAGAGGGAGAATGGGGCGGGGTGATGGAAAGCGGGAGAATGGGGTGGGGTGACGGAAAGAGGGAGAATGGAGCGGGGTGATGGAAAGCGGGAGAATGGGGCGGGGTGACAGAAAGTGGGAGAATGGGGCGGGGTGATGGCAAGAGGGAAAATGGGGCGGGGTGATGGAAAGCGGGAGAAAGGGGCGGGGTGATAGAAAGAGGGTGAATGGGGAGGGGTGATAGAATGAGGGAGAATTGGGCGGGGTGATGGAAAGCGGGAGAATGGGGAGGGGTGTTAGAAAGAGGGAGAATAGGGCGGGGTGATGGAAAGCGGGAGAATGGGGCGGGGTGATGGAAAGAGGGAAAATGGGGAGGGGTGATGGAAAGCGGGAGAATGGGGCGGGGTGATGGAAAGCGGGAGAATGGGGCGGGGTCATGGAAAGCGGGAGAATGGGGCGGGGTGATGGAAAGAGGGAGAATGGGGGGGGGGGTGATGGAAAGCGGGAGAATGCGGCGGGGTGATGGAAAAAGGGAGAATGGGGAGGGGTGATAGAAAGAGGGAGAATTGGGCGGGGTGATGGAAAGCGGGAGAATGGGGAGGGGTGATAGAAAGAGGGAGAATGGGGCAGGGTGATGGAAAGCGGGAGAATGGGGCGGGGTGATGGAAAGAGGGAAAATGGGGCGGGATGATGGAAAGCGGGAGAATAGGGCGGGGTGATGGAAAGAGGGAGAATGGGGCGGGATGATGGAAAGCGGGAGAATGGGGCGGGGTGATAGAAAGCGGGACAATGGGGCGGGGTGATCCAAAGAGGGAGAATGGGGGTGGGTGATTGAAGGCGGGAGAATGGGGCGGGATGATGGAAAGATGGAGAGTAGGGCGCGGAAATGGAAAGCGGGAGAATGGGGCGGGGTGATGGAAAGAGGGAGAATGGGGCGGGATGATGGAAAGAGGGAGAATGGGGCGGGGTGATGGAAAGCGAGAGAATGGGGCGGGGTGATGGAAAGAGTGAGAATGGGGCGGGGTGATGGAAAGAGGGAGAATGGGGCGGGGTGATGGAAAGAGGGAGAATGGGTTGGGGTGATGGAAAACGGGAGAATGGGGCGGGGTGATGGAGACAGGGAGAAAGGGGCGGGGTGGTGGAAAGAGGGAGAATGGGGCGGGGTGATGGAAAGCGGGAGAATGGGGCGGGGTGATGGAAAGAGGGAGAATGGGGCGGGGTGATGGAAAGCGGGAGAATGGGGCGGGGTGATGGAAAGAGGGAGAATGGGGAGGGGTGATGGAAAGAGGGAGAATTGGGCGGGGTGATCGAAAGGGGGAGAATGGAGCGGGATGATTGAAAGCGGGAGAATGGGGCTAGGTGATAGAAAGCGGGAGAATGGGGCAGGGTGATGGAAAGAGGGAGAATGGGGTGGGGTAATAGAAAGCGGGAGAATGGGGCAGGGTGATGGAAAGAGGGAGAATGGGGCAGGGTGATGGAAGAAGGGAGAATGGGGCGCGGTGATGGAGGGAGGGAGAATGGGGTGGGGTGATGGAAAGCGGGAGAATGGGGCGGGGTGATGGAAAGCGGTAGAATGGGGCAGGGTGATGGAAGGAGGGAGAATGGGGCGGGGTGATGGAAAGCGGGAGAATGGGGCGTGGTGATGGAAAGCGAGAGAATGGGGCGGGGTGATGGAAAGCGGGAGAATGGGGCGGGGTGATGGAAAGCGGGAGAATGGGGCGGGGTGATGGAAGGAGGTAGAATGAGGCGGGGTGATGGAAGGAGAAGAATGGGGCGGGGTGATGGAAAGCAGGAGAATGGGGCAGGGTGATGGAAAGCAGGAGAATGGGGCGGAGTGATGGAAAGCGGGAGAATGGGGCGGGGTGATGGAAAGCGGGAGAATGGGGCGTGGTGATGGAAAGCGGGAGAATGGGGCGGGGTGATGGGAGAATGGGGCGGGGTGATGGAAAGCGGGAGAATGGGGCGGGGTGATGGAAAGCGGGAGAATGGGGCGGTGTGATGGAAAGCGGGTGAATGGGGTGGGCTGATGGAAAGCGGGAGAATGGGGCGGGGTGATGGAAGGAGGGAGAATGGGGCGGGTCGATGGAAAGCGGGAGAATGGGTCGGGGTGATGGAAAGTGGGAGAATGGGGCGGGGTGATGAAAAGTGGGAGAATGGGGCGGGGTGATGGAAAGCGGGAGCATGGGGCGGGGTGATGGAAGGAGGTAGAATGAGGCGGGGTGATGGAAGGAGGGAGAATGGGGCGGGGTGATGGAAAGCGGTAGAATGGGGCGGGTTGATGGAAGGAGGGAGAATGGGGCGTGGTGATGGAAAGCGGGAGAATGGGGCGGGGTGATGGAAAGCGGGAGAATGGGGCGGGGTGATGGAAAGCGGGAGAATGGGGCGGGGTGACGGAAAGCGGGAGAATGGGGCGGGGTGATGGAAAGCGGGAGAATGGGGCGGGGTGATGGAAAGCGGGAGAATGGGGCGGGGTGATGGAAGGAGGGAGAATGAGGCGGGGTGATGGAAGGAGGGAGAATGGGGCGGGTTGATGGAAAGCGGGAGAATGGGGCGGGGTGATGGAAAGCGGGAGAATGGGACGGAGTGATGGAAAGCGGGAGAATGGGGCGAGGTGATGGAAAGCGGGAGAATGGGGCGGGGTGATGGAAAGCGGGAGAACGAGGCGGGGTGTTGGAAAGCGGGAGAATGGGGCGGGGTGATGAAAAGCGGGAGGATGGGGCGGGGTGATGGAAAGCGGGAGAATGGGGTGGGTAATGGATTGCGGGTGAATGGGGCGGGGTGATGGAAAGCGGGAGAACTGGGCGGGGTGATGGAAGGAGGGAGAATGGGGAGGGGTGATGGAAAGCGGGGGAATGGGGCGGGATGATGGGAAGCGGGAGAATGGGGCGGGGTGATGGAAAGCGGGAGAATGGGGCAGGGTGATGGAAAGCGGGAGAATGGGGCGGGGAGATGGAAAGCGGGAGAATGGGGCGGGCTGATAGAAAGTAGGAGAATGGGGCGGGGTGATGAAAGGAGGGAGAATGGGGCGGGGTGATGGAAGGAGGGAAAAGGGGGCGGGGTGATGGAAAGCGGGAGAATGGGGTGGGGTGATGGAAAGTGAGAGAATGGGGCGGGGTGATGGAAAGCGGAAGAATGGGGAGGGCTGATGGAAAGCGGGAGAATGGGGCAGGGTGATCAAAGGAGAGAGAATGGGGCGGGGTGATGGAAAGCGGAAGAATGGGGCGGGGTGATGGAAAGCGGGAGAATGGGGCGGGGTGATGGAAAGTGGGAGAATGTGGCGGGTTGATGGAAAGCGGGAGAATGGGGCGGGGTTATGGAAAGCGGGAGAATGGGGCGGGGTGACGGAAAGCGGGAGAATGGGGCAGGGTGATGGATGGAGGGAGAATGGGGCGGGGTGATGGAAAGTGGGAGAATGTGGCGGGGTGATGGAAAGCGGGAGAATGGGGCGGGGTTATGGAAAGCGGGAGAATGGGGCGGGGTGACGGAAAGCGGGAGAATGGGGCAGGGTGATGGATGGAGGGAGAATGGGGCGGGGTGATGGAAGGAGAAGAATGGGGCGGGGTGATGGAAAGCGGGAGAATGGGGCGGGGTGATGGAAAGCGGGAGAATGGGGCGGAGTGATGGAAAGCGGGAGAATGGGGTGGGGTGATGGAAAGCGGGAGAATGGGGCGTGGTGATGGAAAGCGGGAGAATGGGGCGGGGTGATGGGAGAATGGGGCGGGGTGATGGAAGGAGGGAGAATGGGGCGGGGTGATGGAAAGCGGGAGAATGGGGCAGGGTGATGGAAAGCGGGAGAATTGGGCGGGGTGATGAAAAGCGGGAGAATGGGGCGGGGTGATGGAAAGCGGGAGCATGGGGCGGGGTGATGGAAGGAGGTAGAATGAGGCGGGGTGATGGAAGGAGGGAGAATGGGGCGGGGTGATGGAAAGTGGGAGAATGGGGCGGGCTGATGGAAAGCGGGAGAATGGGGCGGGGTGATGGAAAGCGGGAGAATGGGGTGGGGAGATGGAAAGCGGGAGAAAGGGGCGGGGTGATGGAAAGCGGGAGAATGGGGCGGGCTGATAGAAAGTGGGAGAACGGGGCGGGGTGATGGAAGGAGGGAGAATGGGGCGGGGTGATGGAAGGAGGGAGAAGGGGGCGTGGTGATGGAAAGCGGGAGAATGGGTTGGGGTGATGAAAAGCGAGAGAATGGGGCGGGGTGATGGAAAGCGGGAGAATGGGGAGGGCTGATGGAAAGCGGGAGAATGGGGCGGGGTGATCAAAGGAGGGAGAATGGGGCGGGGTGATGGAAGGAGGGAGAATGGTGCGGGGTGATGGAAGGAGGGAGAATGGGGCGGGGTGATGGAAAGTGGGAGAATGTGGCGGGGTGATGGAAAGCGGGAGAATGGGGCGGGGTTATGGAAAGCGGGAGAATGGGGCGGGGTGACAGAAAGCGGGAGAATGGGGCAGGGTGATGGAAGGAGGGAGAATGGGGCGGGGTGATGGAAAGCGGGAGAATGGGGCAGGGTGATGGAAAGCGGGAGAATGGGGCGGGGTGATGGAAAGCGGGAGAATGGGGCGGGGTGATGGAAAGCGGGAGAATGGGGCGGGGTGATGGAAAGCGGGAGAATGGGGCGGGGTGATGGAAAGCGGGAGAATGGGGTGGGCTGATGGAAAGCGGGAGAATGGGACGGGGTGATGGAAGGAGGGAGAATGGGGCGGGGTGATGGAAGGAGGGAGAATGGAGCGGGTGATGGAAGGAGGGAGAATGAGGCGGGGTTATGGAAAGCGGGAGAATCTGGCGGGGTGATGGAAAGCGGGAGAATGGGGCGGGGTGATGGAAGGAGGGAGAATGGGGCGGGGTGATGGAAAGCGGGAGATTGGGGCATGGTGATGGAAAGCATGACAATGGGGCGGAGTGATAGAAAGCGGGAAAATAAGGCGGGGTGATGGAAAGTGGGAGAATGGGGCTGGGTGATGGAAAGCGGGAGAATGGGGCGGGGTGATGGAAAGCGGGAGAATGGGGGGGGGTGATGGAAGGAGGGAGAATGAGGCGGAGTGATGGAAGGAGGGAGAATGGGGAGGGGTGATGGAAAGCAGGAGAATGGGGCGGGGTGATGGAAAGCGGGAGAATGGGGCGGAGTGATGGAAAGCGGGAGAATGGAGCGGGGTGATGGAAAGCAGGAGAATGGGGCGGGGTGATGGAAAGCGGGAGATGGGGCGAGGTGATGGAAAGCGGGAGAATGGGGCGGGTAATGGAAAGCTGGAGAATGGGGCGGGGTGATAGAAGGAGGGAGAATGGGGAGGGGTGATGGAAAGCGGGAGAATGGGGTGGGGTGATGGAAAGCGGGAGAATGGGGCAAGGTGATGGAAAGCGGTAGAATGGGGCGGGGTGATGGAAAGCAGGAGAATGGGGCGGGGTGATGGAAAGCGGGAGAATGGGGCGGGGTGATGGAAGGAGGGAGAATGGGGCGGGGTGATGGAAAGCGGGAGATTGGGGCAGGGTGATGGAAAGCGGGAGAATGGGGCGGGGTGATGGAAAGCGGGAGAATAGGGCGGGGTGATGGAAAGCGGGAGAATGGGGCGAGGTGATGGAAGGAGGGAGAATGAGGCAGGGTGATGGAAGGAGGGAGAATGGGGCGGGGTGATGGAAAGTGGGAGAATGGGTCGTGGTGATCGAAAGCGGGAGAATGGGGCGGAGTGATGGAAAGCGGGAGAATGGGGCGGGGTGATGGAAAGCGGGAGAATGGGGCGGGGTAATGGAAAGCGGGAGAATGGAGCGGGGTGATGGAAAGCGGGAGAATGGGGCGGGGTGATGGAAAGCGGGAGAATGGGGCGGGGTGATGGAAAGCGGTTGAATGGGGCAGGATGATGGAAAGCGGGAGAATGGGGCGGGGTGATGGAAAGCAAAAGAATGGGGCGGGGTGATGGAAAGCGGGAGAATGGGGCGAGGTGATGGAAAGCGGGAGAATGGGGCGGGTGATGGAAAGAGGGAGAATGAGGAGGGGTGATGGAAAGAGGGAGAATTGGGCGGGGTGATGGAAAGCGGGAGAATGGAGCGGGGTGATGGAAAGAGGGAGAATGGGGCGGGGTGATGGAAAGCGGGAGAATGGGGCGGGGTGATGGAAAGAGGGAGAATGGGGCGGGGTGATGGAAAGCGGGAGAATGGGGCGGGGTGATGGAAAGAGGGAGAATGGGGCGGGGTGATGGAAAGCGGGAGAATGGGGCGGGGTGATGGAAAGCGGGAGAATGGGGCGAGGTGATGGAAGGAGGGAGAATGAGGCAGGGTGATGGAAGGAGGGAGAATGGGGCGAGGTGATGGAAAGCGGGAGAATGGGGCGGAGTGATGGAAAGCGGGAGAATGGGGCGGGGTGATGGAAAGCGGGAGAATGGGGCGGGGTAATGGAAAGCGGGAGAATGGAGCGGGGTGATGGAAAGCGGGAGAATGGGGCGGGGTGATGGAAAGCGGGAGAATGGGGCGGGGTGATGGAAAGCGGTTGAATGGGGCAGAATGATGGAAAGCGGGAGAATGGGGCGGGGTGATGGAAAGCAAAAGAATGGGGCGGGGTGATGGAAAGCGGGAGAATGGGGCGAGGTGATGGAAAGCGGGAGAATGGGGCGGGTGATGGAAAGAGGGAGAATGAGGAGGGGTGATGGAAAGAGGGAGAATTGGGCGGGGTGATGGAAAGCGGGAGAATGGAGCGGGGTGATGGAAAGAGGGAGAATGGGGCGGGGTGATGGAAAGAGGGAGAATGGGGTGGGGTGGTGGAAAGAGGGAGAATGGGGCGTGGTGATGGAAAGCGGGAGAATGGGCAGGGTGATGGAAAGCGGGGGAATGGGGCGGGATGATGGGAAGCGGAAGAATAGGGCGGGGTGATGGAAGGAGGGAGAATGGGGCGGGATGATGGAAAGCGGGAGAATGGGGCGGGGTGATGGAAAGCGGGAGAATGGGGCGGGGTGATGGAAGGAGGGAGAATGGGGAAGGGTGATAGAAAGCAGGAGTTTGGGGCGGGGTGATGGAAAGTAGGAGAATGGGGCGGGGTGATGGAAAGCGGGAGAATGAGGCGGGGTGATGGAAAGCGGGAGATTGGGGCGGGGTGATGGAAAGCGGGAGAATGGGGCGGGGTGTTGGAAAGCCGAGAATGGGGCGGCATGATGGAAGGAGAGAGAATGGGGCGGGGTGATGGAAGGAGGGAGAATGGGGCGGGGTGATGGAAAGCGGAAGAATGGGGTGGGGTGATGGGAAGCGGGAGAATGGGGCGGGGTGACGGAAAGCGGGAGAAAGGGGCGGGGTGGTGGAAGGAGGGAGAATGGGGCGGGCTGATGGAAAGCGGGAGAATGGAGCGGGGTGATGGAAAGCGGGAGAATGGGGCGGTGTGGTGGAAAACGGGAGAATGGGGCGGGGTGATGGAAAGCGAGAGAATGGGGCGGGGTGATGGAAAGAGGGAGAATGGGGCGCGATGATGGAAAGAGGGAGAATGGGGCGGGGTGATGGAACGCGGGAGAATGGGGCTGGGTGATGGAAAGAGGGAGAATGGGGAGGGGTGATGGAAAGAGGGAGAATTGGGTGGGGTGTTGGAAAGCGGGAGAATGGAGCGGGGTGATGGAAAGCGGGAGAATGGGGCAGGGTGATGGAAAGCGGGAGAATGGGACGGGGTGATGGAAAGAGTGAAAATGGGGCGGGGTGATGGATTGGGGGAGAATGGGGCGGGGTGATGGAAAGAGGGAGAATGGGGCGGGGTGATGGAAAGCGGGAGAATGGGGCGGGGAGATGGAAAGCGGGAGAAAGGGGAGGGGTGATGGAAAGCGGGAGAATGGAGCGGGGTGATGGAAAGCGGGAGAATGGGGCGGTGTGATGGAAAATGGGAGAATGGGGCGGGGTGATGGAAAGCGAGAATTGGGGCGGGGTGATGGAAAGAGGGAGAATGGGGCGCGGTGATGGAAAGAGGGAGAATGGGGTGGGGTGATGGAAAGCGGGAGAATGGGGCTGGGTGATTGAAAGAGGGAGAATGGGGAGGGGTGATGGAAAGAGGGAGAATTGGGTGGGGTGTTGGAAAGCGGGAGAATGGAGCGGGGTGATGGAAAGCGGGCGAATGGGGCGGGGTGATGGAAAGCGGGAGAATGGGACGGGGTGATGGAAAGAGTGAAAATGGGGCGGGGTGATGGATTGGGGGAGAATGGGGCGGGGTGATGGAAAGAGGGAGAATGGGTCGGGGTGATGGAAAGAGGGAGAATGGAGCGGGGTGATGGAAAGCGGGAGAATGGCGCGGTGTGGTGGAAAACGGGAAACCCTAAACCCTAAACCCTTTCCGTCACCCCGCCCCATTCTCCAGCTTTCCATCACATCGTCCCATTCTCCCGCTTTCCATCACCCCGCCCCATTCTCCCGCTTTCCATCACCCCGCACTATTCTCCCTCTTTCCATCACCCCGCCCCATTCTCCCGCTTTCCGTCACCCAGCCCCATTATCCCGCTTTCCATCACCCCACCCCATTTTCCCGCTTTCCATCACCCCGCCCCATTCTCCCGCTTTCCATCACCCCGCCCCATTCTCAAGCTTTCCATCACCTCGCCCCATGCTCCCGCTTTCCATCACCCCGCCCCATTCTCCCGCTTTCCATTACCCCGCCCCATTCTCCCGCTTTCCATCACCCTGCCCCATTCTCCCGCTTTCCATCACCCCGCCCCATTCTCCCGCTTTCCATCACTTCGCCCCATTCTCCCGCTTTCCATCACCCCGCCCCTATCTTCCTCTTTCCATCACCCCGCCCCAATCTCCCGCTTTCCATCACCCCGCCCCATTCTCCCGCTTTCCATCACCCCGCCCCATTCTCCCGCTTTCCATCACCCCGCCCCATTCTCCCGCTTTCCATCACCCCGCCCCATTCTCCCTCTTTTCATCACCCGCCCCTTTCTCCCTCTTTCCATTTCCCCACCCCATTCTCCCGCCTTCCATCACCCCGCCCCATTCTCCCGCTTTCCATCACCTCGCCCCATTCTCCCGCTTTCCATCACCCCGCCCAATTCCCCCTCTTTCCATCAGCCCGCCCCATTCTCCTGCTTTCTATCACCCCGCCCCATTCTCCCTATTTCGATCACCCCGCCCCATTCTCCCACTTTCCATCACCCCGCCCCATTCTCCCGCTTTCCATCACCCCTCCCCATTCTCCCTCTTTCCATCACCCCGCTCCATTCCCCCTCTTTCCATCAGCCCGCCCCATTCTCCCGCTTTCCACCACCCTGCCCCATTCTCCCGCTTTCCATCACCCTGCCCCATTCTCCCGCTTTCCATCACCCTGCCCCATTCTCCCGCTTTCTATCACCCCGCCCCATTCTCCCGCTTTCCATCACCCCGCCCCATTCTCCCACTTTCCATCACCCCGCCCCATTCTCCTGCTTTCCATCACCCCGCCCTATTCTCCCGCTTTCCATCACCCCACCCCATTCTCCCGCTTTCCATCACCCTGCCCTATTCTCCCGCTTTCCATCACCACGACCCATTCTCCCTCTTTTCATCACCCCGCCCCATTCTCCCTCTTTCCATCACCCCGCCCTATTCTCCCTCTTTCCATCACCGCGCCCCATTCTCCCGCTTTCCATCACCCCGCCCCATTCTCCCGCTCCATCACCCTGCCCCATTCTCCCGCTTTCCATCACCCCGGCCCATTCTCCCGCTTTCCATCGCCCCGCCCCATTCTTCCGCTTTCCATCACCCCGCCCCATTAACCCTCTTTCCATCACCCCGCCCCATTCTCTCTCTTTCCATCACCGTGCCCCATTCTTCCGGTTTTCATCACCCCGCCCTATTCTCCCTCTTTCCATCACCCCGCCCCATTCTCCCGCTTTTCATCACCCCGCCCCATTCTCCCTCCTTCCATCACCCCGCCCCATTCTCCCGCTTTCCATCCCTCCGCCCCATTCTCCCTCCTTCCATCGCGCCACCCCATTCTCCCTCCTTCCATCACCCCGCCCCATTCTCCCGCTTTCCATCACCCCGCCCCAATCTCCTGCTTCCCATAACCCCACCCCATTTTCCCGCTTTCCATCACCCCGCCACATTCTCCCACTTTCCATCACCCCGCCCCCTTCTCTCTCCTTCCATCACCCCGCCCCATTCTCCCTTCTTCCATCACCCCGCCCCGTTCTCCCGCTTTCCATCAGCCCACCCCATTCTCCCGCTTTCCATCACCCCTCCCCTTTCTCCCGCTTTCCATCTCCCCGCCCCATTCTCCCGCTTTCCATCACCCCGCCCCATTCTCCCGCTTTCAATCACCCCGCCCCATTCTTCCGCTTCCCATCATCCGGCCCCATTCCGCCGCTTTCCATCACCCCTCCCCATTCTCCCTCCTTCCATCACCCTGCACCATTCTCTCGCTTTCCATCACCCCGCCCCATTCTCCCGCTTTCCATCACGCCGCCCCATTCTCCCGCTTTCCACCACCCCGCCCCATTCTCCCTCCTTCCATCACCCCGCCCCATTCTCCCGCTTTCCATCACCCCGCCCCATTCTCCTTTCTTCCATCACCCCGCCCCATTCTCCCTCATTCCATTACCCCGCCCCATTCTCCCGCTTTCCATCACCCCGCCCCATTCTCCCGCTTCCCATAACCCCACCCCATTCTCCCGCTTTCCATCACCCCGCCACATTTTCCCACTTTCCATCACCCCGCCCACTTCTCTCTCCTTCCATCACCCCGCCCCATTCTCCTTCCTTCCATCACCCCGCCCCATTCTCCCGCTTTCCATCAGCCCGCCCCATTCTCCCGCTTTCCATCACCCCGCTTCTTTCTCCCGCTTTCCATCTCCCCGCCCCATTCTCCCGCTTTCCATCACGCCGCCCCATTCTCCTGCTTTCCATCACCCCGCCCCATTCCTCCGCTTCCCATCATCCCGCCCCATTCCACCGCTTTCCATCACCCCTCCCCATTCTCCCTCCTTCCATCACCCCGCCCCATTCTTCCGCTTTCCATCACCCGCCCCATTCTCCTGCTTTCCATCACCTCGCCCCATTCTCCCGCTTTCCATCACCCCGCCCCATTCTCCCGCTTTCCATCACCCCGCCCCATTCTCCCTCCTTCCATCACCCCGCCTCATTCTCCCTCCTTCCATCACCCCGCCCCTTTCTCCCGCTTTCCATCACCTCACCCCATTCTCCCGCTTTCCATCACCCACCCCCATTCTCTCGCTTTCCATCACCCCGCCCCATTCTCACGCTTTCCATCACCCTGCCCCAATCTCCTGCTTTCCATCACCCCGCCCCATTCTCCCTCCTTCCATCACCCCGCCCCATTCTCCCGCTTTCCATCACCCCGCCCCATTCTCCTGCTTTCCATCACCCTGCCCCATTCTCCCGCTTTCCATCACCCCGCCCCATTCTCCCGCTTTCCATCACCCCACCCCATTCTCCCTCCTTACATCACCCCGCCCCATTCTCCCTCCTTCCATCACCCCGCCCCATTCTCCCGCTTTCCATCAGCCCGCCCCATTCTCCCTCCTTCCATCACCCCGCCCCATTCTCTCTCCTTCCATCACCCCGCCCCATTCTCCCGCTTTCCATCACCCCGCCTCATTCTCCCGCTTCCCATAACCCCACCCCATTCTCCCGCTTTCCATCACCCCGCCACATTCTCCCGCTTTCTATCACCCCGCCCCATTCTCCCTCCTTCCATCACCCCGCCCCATTCTCCCGCTTTCCATCACCCCGCCCCATTCTCTCGCTTTCCATCACCCTGCCACATTCTCCCACTTTCCATCACCCCGCCCCCTTCTCTCTCCTTCCATCACCCCGCCCCATTCTCCCTCCTTCCATCACCCCGCCCCATTCTCCCGCTTTTCATCAGCCCGCCCCATTCTCCCGCTTTCCATCACCCCGCCCCATTCTCCCGCTTTCCATCTCCCCGCCCCATTCTCCCGCTTTCCATCACCCCACCCCATTCTCCCGCTTTCCATCACCCCGCCCCATTCTTCCGCTTCCCATCATCCCGCCCCATTCCCCCACTTTCCATCGCCCCTCCCCATTCTCCCTCCATCCATCACCCCGCCCCTTTTCTCTTGCTTTCCATCACCCCGCCCCATTCTCCCCCTTTCCATCACCCCGCCCCATTCTCCCGCTTTCCATCACTCCGCCCCATTCTCGCTCCTTCCATCACCCCGCCCCAATCTCCCTCCTTCCATCACCCGGCCCCATTCTCCCTCATTCCATCACCCCGCCCCATTCTCCCGCTTTCCATCACCACGCCCCATTCTCCCGCTTCCCATAACCCCACCCCATTCTCCCGCATTCCATCACCCCGCCACATTTTCCCACTTTCCATCACCCCGCCCCCTTCTCTCTCCTTCCATCACCCCACCCCATTCTCCCTCCTTCCATCACCCCGCCCCATTCTCCCGCTTTCCATCAGCCCGCCCCATTCTCCCGCTTTCCATCACCCCGCCTCATTCTCCCGCTTTCCATCACCCCACCCCATTCTTCCGCTTCCCATCATCCCGCCCCATTCCCTCGCTTTCCATCACCCCTCCCCATTCTCCCTCCTTCCATCACCCCGCCCCATTCTCCCCCTTTCCATCACCCGCCCCATTCTCCCGCTTTCCATCACCTCGCCCCATTCTCCCGCTTTCCATCACCCCGCCCCATTCTCCCGCTTTCCATCACCCCGCCCCATTCTCCCGCTTTCCATCACCCTGCCCCATTCTCCCGCTTTCCATCACCCTGCCCCATTCTCCCGCTTTCCATCACCCCGCCCCGTTCTCCCGCTTTCCATCACCCCGCCCCGTTCTCCCGCTTTCCATCACTCCGCCCCATTCTCCCGCTTTCCATCACCCCGACCCATTCTCCCACTTTCCATCACCCCGCCCCATTCTCCCTCCTTCCATCACCCCGCCGCATTATCCCTCCTTCCATCACCCCGCCCCATTCTCCCGCTTTCCATCACCCCGCCCCATTCTCCCGCTTTCCATCACCCCGCCCCATTTTCCCGCTTTCCATCACCCCGCCCCATTCTCCCGCTTTCCATCACCCTGCCCCAATCTCCCGCTTTCCATCACCCCACCCCATACTCCCTCCTTCCATCACCTCGCCCCATTCTCCCACTTTCCATCACCCCGCCCCCTTCTCCCGCTTTCAATCACCCAGCCCCATTCTCCCGTTTTCCATCACCCTGCCCCATTCTCCCGCTTTCCATCACCCCGCCCCATTCTCCCTCCTTCCATCACCCCGCCCCATTCTCCCGCTTTCCATCACCCCGCCCCATTCTCCCTCCTTCCATCACCCCGCCCCATTCTCCCTCCTTCCATCACCCCGCCCCATTCTCCCGCTTTCCATCACCCCGCCCCATTCTCCCGCTTCCCATAACCCCACCCCCTTCTCCTGCTTTCCATCACCCGCCACATTCTCCCGCTTTCTATCACCCCGCCCCATTCTCCCTCCTTCCATCAACCCGCCCCATTCTCTCGCTTTCCATCACCTCGCCCCATTCTCCCGATTTCCATCACCCCGCCCCATTCTCCCGCTTTCCATCACCCCGCCCCATTCTCCCGCTTTCCATCACCTTGCCCCATTCTCCCGCTTTCCATCATCCCGCCCCATTCTCCCTCCTTCCATCACCCCGCCCCATTCTCCTGCTTTCCATCACTCCGCCCCATTCTCCCTCCTTCCATCACCCCGCCCCATTCTCCCTCCTTCCATCACCCCGCCCCATTCTCCCGCTTTCCATCACCCCGCGCCATTCTCCCGCTTCCCATAACCCCACCCCGTTCTCCCGCTTTCCATCACCCAGCCACATTCTCCCACTTTCCATCACCCCGCCCCCTTCTCTCTCCTTCCATCACCCCGCCCCATTCTCCCTCCTTCCATCACCCCGCCCCATTCTCCCGCTTTCCATCACCCCGCCCCATTCTCCAGCTTTCCATCACCCTGCCCCAATCTCCCGCTTTCCATCACCCCACCCCACTCTCCCTCCTTCCATCACCCCGCCCCATCCTCCCGCTTTCCATCACCCCGCCCCATTCTCCCGCTTTCCATCACCCAGCCCCATTCTCCCGCTTTCCATCACCCCGCCCAATTCTCCCGCTTTCCATCACCCCGCCCCATTCTCCCGCTTTCAATCACCCCGCCCCATTCTCCCTCCTTCCATCACCCCGCCCCATTCTCCCGCTTTCCATCACCCCGCCCCATTCTCCCTCCTTCCATCACCCCGCCCCATTCTCCCTCCTTCCATCACCATGCCCCTTCTCCCGCTTTCCATCACCGCGCCCCATTCTCCCGCTTCCCATAACCCCACCCCCTTCTCCCGCTTTCCATCACACCGCCACATTCTCCCGCTTTCTATCACCCCGCCCCAATGTCCCTCCTTTCCATCACCTTGCCCCATTCTCCCGATTTCCATAACCCCGCCCCATTCTCCCGCTTTCCATCACCCCGCCCCATTCTCCCTCTTTCCATCAGCCCGCCCCATTCTCCCTCTTTCCATCACCCCGCTCCATTCTCCCGCTTTCCATCACCCCGCCCCATTCTCCCGCTTTCCATCACCCCGCCCCATTCTCCCGCTTTCCATCACCCCGCCCCATTCTCCCTCTTTCCATCAACCTGCCCATTCTCCCTCTATCCATCACCCCGCCCAATTCTCCCGCTTTCCATCACCCCGCCCCATTCTCCCTCTTTCCATCACCCTACCCCATTCTCCCTCTATCCATCACCCCGCCCAATTCTCCCGCTTTCCATCACCCCGCCCCATTCTCCCTCTTTCCATCACCCCGCCCCATTCTCC